GCAGAGAGACCTTGAATGCCCTCCACTGGTGGCTTTTCTTTTGATGATCCGGGAACTTCTCTTCCTGTTTCCCCTTCTGAGGTGGCATTTATTTATTTTTCAGTTTACTCCCACATAGAAAATGTCTCCTTATTCATGTATTTATTACAGGATGACAAACAGTTGGAGGCAGGCCCTTTCAGAAGGTTTTAGGGCATGGCTGGCCAGGCAGGGGGCCACGGCGCAGGCTGGGGGCATCAGGGCTGGCCCAGGCTCAACCCCCAATATTAATAACCTCATCATCGCGTGGGGATTCTCCATGATCTCCATAGCAATATGACAGTTCAAATGTGACAGCCATCTCTGGGCTCCCCTTGGGGGAGTTAAAAGCCCACGATGAACATTCAGATCCTGTCTCCCTCTGAATCCATCTTTGCTGTAACATTTGCCAAGTGTCCAATTAGCCAATGGTGGGGGTTGGGGTGTGTGGGGAGGATGACAAATTGAGGGGGTAGGTCTGGCCTCACAGGCAAGAAGGTATCATGTGGGGAAGATGTGCTTTCTGGTGGCAGCTGATGACAAGGACAGGGCGGCAGCAGAGGGTGCAAGAAGGTCGTGGGAAGAAGGCTCTAGTGATGTGACCTGCTACCTCTGGGTTGTAAGGTGGGGCCAGACCAGCCGGACACATGCCACTCTCTGGGACACTAAAACCCAAACCCAATCTGTCCCTGTCCAGGTGATGCCCATGCACTGAGGCCAGTTCCATGCATCGCAGGGTAGAACTGTACCATAGACCTTTCTTGGCTGTGATCCTTATGGAAGGAGACAGCCAGGGCTTCTTCACTGGGTGGGTTCAAACAGCCAACTTCTAGGTTAGTAGTCAAGGGCCAGCTGTTTGTGCCACCCACGGACTCTCCAAAAAGTAGGGCTGAGCTGGCGTCTCCTCCAGGCTTCCATTCTCCCCAGCGTAAAGGAAAAAGGCTTTGGTCTCCACCCAGAGGAGCACCCACCTGAGCTAGTCTCATCAAGCCTGCACCCACGTCTTCTGCCACTACATGAGACTTCCAGCAGAGGGCGGGCTCGTGCACATGGTCCAGGCCCACTGGCTTCTTGCAGCGATCCTGCCCCCTGTCCCTAACAGGTTTCCTGAAATGTGGGAGTCAGAGTGAGGAGTGGACTTCCTGGTATGTCATAGGATGGCCCCATTGTCCTGACATTTTCACCACTGGTTCCAGCATTGCTACTAAATCCCAGCAAGTCTCTGGGAGGAGGCTTCTGACCCAGGCGGTTCTAAGTGCCTGGTTAGTCTGGCCATGCACGCCCTATGCTGCCTTTATATGATGGGGCCTTTGGGGTCAGAGTCTATCCATCCTGCTTCTGTCTGGCCGCCCATAGTCTTCTTTCAGTTTGGTTTTGTGAGAAGCACTTGGGGGTGCCGATCACTGCCTTATGCATGATCCAGTCTCAGTCCGTCTCCACTAGGGTGGGTGCTGGGTCAGCCAGGAGAGAGTGGGTCCGCCTCATGAACACAGGGAGAGGCCTCTGTGGCCTCATTACCTTTCCACGTGGTCCACGTTGCCTACCATGCCAAGGCCCCCAAGGGACATATAGCACCGACATCAGCCAGCGTCACCCCTGATTCCATCCCACCTGGGAGGTAGATGTTGTCTCTGCTACTCATGATACTGAAGAATTCCCGCTCGTAGAAGGGCAAGGAGGCCAAGGGGTACCACTTGTTGCTCTGCAGGTCCCAGCAGGCGACAGGTGACAGCCACCAGCGAGCGCTGGGTCATCCCCAACACCTGCTGAGAGGCGGGGCCTCGCCGGGGAATCTGCATCTCCTGGTGAGCGTGAGGCAGCACGTGGTAGCGTTTGGCCTTGTTGACCAGATCCCGGCACACTTCTGAGGATTTGAGCTCCTCGTTGTCCACCACGTTGAGCAGGTAGCTGGGGTGGATGAAGAGGAGATGTACCATGGCCAGCAGCTCCTTGGAGGCATACTGTGCTCGAGAAGCAGGGTCCTTCTTGATCCACTTGATGACGGTCACGTACACCAGCTCCTCGGCATTGGTGTTGAGGCTGTCGTTGGAGAGGTACGCGATGAAGTCATCCTTGGAGATGCTGAGGATCTCCTCCTGGGCCGCCACCTTGGGGAAGATCTGCAGGGCGAAGGCCTTGGCCATGTGGTAGAGCTCGCAGCACTGCATGGCCTCGGCCATGGCCAACACCCCCAGGCAGTTTCTGTTTATCAGCTTCTTCTCGCGGAAGGACAGGCAGACTCTGCAGAAGGTGTGGAACTGGAACTTGCTGACCGAGTCGATGAGCAGGGACTCCGTGTAGATAAGCCCAGCAGCACTCCCAGGGCGTCCGGCCCACTGGCTCCCTGCACACCTCAGTCACACCCTTCATTTAGGTCTCCAAGGACATGCCAATGGACACACCTGAGCCGGGATATGAAAGAGAAGAGTCTGACCAGAGAGGCCCCAAAGAACAGAAAACCCTGTGATCATTATCGCTACTTGGCATATCCATGTCCCCAAAAAGGTGCAAATGAAAAAACATGAGCTGTGGATGGGAACGAGGACCAGGACTGGCCTCAAAGGGAAACAATACACTGGCCCCCTCGCTTGCAGCTGGCCTTTCCACCCAGCGCGACCTACAAGCCATGGGGGCACCCAGGGCACAGGCCTCAGGTGGGAGGTGCCCCCGTGATACTCTCTGAGATGGCATTTACACAAAGAATGGCTTTGATGGAGGTGTAGTTTTTGTCTTTTGGCACACCATATCCCCAAGGACACAAAGGGAAGCAGAGGGGAAAACTCCCAGAATTATCTTGAGGCCATGCCCACAAGGAGGCATCAATCAGACTGTAACCTGATTGACAGGCTAGACTCCACTCCTATAACCCAGTTATCAAGTTGACATGAAATTTTGTGACTACCACAACTATTCATAAGGTGTTCAGTGGCTAATCTCCCAGAAGTGGACTCCCACACTAGAAGCTCCGCTGAACTCGTCCACCATGGGGGACCCTGCTGGTGTTTGAAGTACTGGAGGCGTAGCTTCCCACCTCATGACCCTGCTGGTGTTTGAAATACTGGAGCCATAGCTTCCCACCTCACAGCAACACACAAGCCACCAATACACAAGCCACCACAACACAAGAAAAATGGTTCAGAAGCTCTTCGTTATTTTTCAAAAGATTCAGAATAATTCCCAGAAGAATGATAATGCTGTCGCTGCTCATTATCTAACATTCAGCACTGTGAGGGTGGTAGGCACTGTTCTCATCCCTTGATGGGCTGTTTCATCCGGGTACCTTCCCTGTAAGAGAGGACCACATGGTAGCTTCGTTGTACGTATAAGAAACCTGAGGTGCACAGAAGTTAAACAACTTGTCCAAGATGACACACCTGATCATCAGAATGAGAATCAGATCAGGCAGTCTGTTCCATAATCTGTGGTCCAAATCACTCTGCTGTATGTTCTCTTTGAAGAGATAAAATGTTAGCTAAAATGTGTATATATGACTTCACATTGTCAGCTGCATTTACCAGAGCAGTAATTATTTTCAGAGTTTCATCATTGTTATTTTTGTCTGCTTGCTGGCCAGACCTACCTGGCTGGCTAACATTTCCTATATATTTAGTTGAGGGAGATGCATAGATTTTTAAACCCACATAAAAAAGTGGTTAGTTTATATCAATTACCCTTACCTCAAAAAATGGCGTATTCAGCCAAGTTATTTTGAACCTATACTATTGAGACTTTGGTAGATATCACTTGCTATCTTCATGCTTGAAAATCAAATATTTCTTCCAGTCTGATTGTCTCTGTCATTTGTAGAAATATTTGCAATTCTGCAAAGGGGGAATGGATTACAAGGATCTACATATAACCTCCTCCCTGGGGGATGGACAACAGAAAAGTGGGTGAAGGGAGGCTTCAGACAGTGTAAGATATGACAAAATAATTTTTAAATTATCAAGGGTTTATGAGGGAGGGGGGAGCAGGGTGGGAGGGGGAAATGAGGAGCTGATGCCAGGGGCTTAAGTGGAGAGCAAATGTTTTGAGAATGATGAGGACAATGAATGTACAAATGTGCTTTACACAATTGATGTATGTATGGATTGTGATAAGAGTTGTATGAGCCCCTAATAAAACGATTAGAATAAATTGTATATATCTTGCCATATTTCTTTTCAGTGTTGGAGTCAGGCACACAGCATTTACATAGGACGCAAGCTTTGAAAAAGCCTCTTAGTTATATTAAGCCACATTAAAATTTAACTTCTAAAACATTTCTTGCAGTAAAAATTTCTAGTCAAGGAAGAAACAAAGTAGAATGTGTGGGCGTTTTATTGTCGAGGTTACTTAAATTAATGGACTAAAAGTAGCAGGTTTAAAATACATACATTTTGTTGAAAAGTTCTATGTCCTATGTACCTGAGTGTTGTCTCAGAGATATGGCATTACGAGTCCTCATGGATGTAATGTGTAAACAATTATGGAGGTGTTTGTAGACTTAATCAAATGATAGAAATAAAACATTGACTCGACGTTTATAGTTGTTATTCCTGACATGTCCAATTGAAGTTTAAAATGACATCTAGATAATTTTTTTCCTTTATGAATCTAGTATTTCAGAATCATCATGAGATGTTGATCCCCACCACTCCCCCACCCCACCACCCCACCCCCGCCACCATTCAGCAGGTGACACACCTTGGTTACTGTAGTGATATACCTTAGATACTGCAGTGTATTGCTCATCTCTTAGCTACAACTAAGTTGTGGCTTCAGGTTTCTCATTACTTTTCACTCCTTTGAATCATTATGCACCAATTATCACACTGAGCAACTCGTTAGAGCTTTTGACTTGGCTCGCAGTGAGAACCGTGTGGGGACCATTACTCCATGTCTTCCAACACGTCAACGTGAATTGCAGTGTTTCGGTTGTGGCCATGCAGCCTCCCGTGGTCAGCGCGACTGACTGCTCTTTGTTCTTCCGCACCTTCAAGCAAAGTAAAGCGGCTGTTGGGTTGAGAGAAGACATGAAGAGGATGGTGGCAGAGCCTGTGCCCGCGCGGAGGGATGCCCCCTGTGCACAGCTGTTCGGAGTCAGCCTCCAAGAGCTTCATCAGCGGGGGCTGGCCGAGCTCGGCATCCCGGCCATCGTGCGGAACATTGTGGAGTACTTGACCCAGCACGGTGAGTTGTCATGCTTTCATTCGGCTCATTCCTTTTCAGTTTCTCACCTGCAGGGAAAACATTTTTCTCTTGCCTCGTCGTAAAATATGCCTGGACTAATTCCCTAAAACACCTTAATTTCATTATCAAATTGTTGTGTAACATATTTCTCCCTGGGGGTGGGGAGGGGAAAAAGCTCCATTAAGCTCTTAACTAATGTATTGTATGAACAATTACTATTATTTTGGCAGATAAATTGTTTAACCACAGAACATTACATTAGTCATCGGGGCTTCTCCTTCGGAATGATTTATGGAGGTTAGTGCCAAAATAGAATTGTTTGCCTAGTATTAATAATGAGTTTTCTAGATTAAATCAAATGTCATTGGCAGTCAGTGGTCTTTAATATGAGAGTATTTGGGTCCAGTTCTTTGAGCCAGGGTCAGTTATGACCTTACAGGATGGCTGTGAGTATGCCCCTCATGTCAATAGGGTAACTATTGTGATCGCCGTTTCCTTGTAGAGTGATAAAGTTCAGCTTATAAAACTAGAGGGCAGATAGTACATTTTATAATAAAAAGATAAATTATATCTACCCCGTGTCAGAATCGACAGGCTTTGGCTAGCTTCATGACAGATAAGGAGCCAACTAAGGTGGCATTGGGAGAAAAGCGATATCCTTTCTCTATCTTGTGGCTGTGATATGTGAACGGAATAGGCTACTAG